TTAAGTGATGAAAACTCTGATTCGGGACGGCAGCGACGGAGGTGAAAGAAAGTATCGAGGGAGGCGGCGATGAGCGGTGGGTCAACTCGGAGGCAAATTGGAAAAGAAAACAAAATTGGGAAAGCAGCACGAAGCGGTGGGTAAACACAGGGACGAATGAAAAATGACGATATTTTAGAGTGCGCGGACCTCCCCGTTCTCATTCTTATCTTGTTCTCTTACAAAAAGGCCTTATTATTAGGGTTTAACTCACCAAATATAGAAATTCACCTCATTAGTAGAGATCTACGATTAGGGCGGTTAACAAACCGAGCTTTTATCCAATTATTCGAGTTCGAACTCGGTTTCGAACCTATCGAGCTGATCTTAACGAGCTTTCGAATCGAACCCGAGCTAAGTTTTAAGTTCGAAAAATTAATCGAGTCGAGCTCGAACATAGTAGTATTGGGCTCGGATCGAACTCGAGCCTATCGAACACCCTGAAATTATAAATACAATTTATATATAATCAAAATTTAAATATAATTAGTATGATTTTATGAATTTAAATATGATTATTAATGAACCGAATACTTGTCGAATCATTCGACCACGATCCTATTAACTAGCATCACCTAAAATTTTAAATTTGATCATGTTTATCGAGCTTATCGAGCGCTCGATTCGAGCATCGAACGCCTATCGAGCCAAACACGAGCCTCATTTGTAAAGGTCGCCGAGCTTCGAGCTCGAATCCGAACACCATTAATTCCTTATCGAGCCGAACTCGAGCTTTAGGTGTTCGGGCTCGGCTCGTTAACAACCCTATTTAGGATTTTTTTAATTGGACTGTACTTTGTCCCAGACCAGACTTGACTTGGGTAGTTATAAAAATACAAAAAAACCAGACCAGACCAGCAAATTACAGTCCAAGTAAAAACATCCTTAGAAAATTATTCAGAACGTCATATGTTATGAATATTCATGCATAGAGTCTCTTATATGAAATTTTTTAATTTTCAAATTAAAGAAAAATGATTATTGTTTTTATATGATTTAGATATTTTGATAAATATACTTACATATTCAATCATATTATTAAGAAAAATGATAAAATTTATTCATCAAACGGGTTCTGCTCACCAATAAATATAACATGGGGGTTGATGCATTTTTAAATCACAGAAGGTTAATGTGCTGAATTTGTATATTATGAGGGAGTTTGATGCATTAAACCTTTTTATTACCTCATGTTTTAGTTGCAACATTGATGATGAACTTTACACTATATACATGCTCTATTTTGACTATATTTTATTTATAAATGTACTATAAATTAATTTTTTTTTAAAACGTTGTTAGATTGTTCAAATTTTAAAATTTTAAAATATGATTTATTTATTTTTTGAACTAATTGTTAGTTTATTGGAGTCATACTACATGTAATATTCACAATATATTATTTATTTGATTTAAGTGTGTGTTATATGGGGCATTGTTCGAATTCCTCATCCCAGCTTCATCTGACAGCCATGTAATAAATCCGGTGGTCTTCTATTTGTTTCCGATGCAGATAACAGAGTGGATCTTCCATCGATGTCCAGGCTGAGAGCTTTCACTTTGAAAAACAGAGTGCCCAGGGTGGTTGGGGGGCGGTTTTGGAGCGTTGAGCAATGTTTTTCGTTAACGCGCACGGGGTACAATTTGAAGCAAGGTACATACGGTTGCCGATTGGAACTTCCTACCAGTTTCAGGCCTGAAATCGCTCCTTCAATGGCAGGGGAGGGGATAGTAGATTAGTAGATAGTAGAATCCAGCAAGTCACCCCAGTTGCAACTTGCAACCACTGTATGTTGGCCGGTGCGATTCTCAGTCAGGTTGACAGGTATGTTTTAATGAAGGCTTTGAAGTAATTTCTGTTGATGCCTTGATTAAAATTTGAAACTCCATCGTATCATTTATGTCATCCAATATTATATTGTGTTCCCCGGCCAATATAAATAATAAATAATAAACATATGTATTTCTTGCAAAGCAGTGAAGTGGCATGTGTCATTTTTTATCATCTCTACGCAATGAGATGTAAAAGTTCTCAAGCAGTATTGTTCTGGTTGAATGTCCTTGGGTGTTGTGCGTGTGTTTTCATGTTGGATGATCAACAACACAATAGTCTTCTCGGCTTCTGGCAATTGTTTAATCAGTCCATGTAATGGAAGTTTTACATACATAGCGGCTTGCTATTGTTAGAGCTTTATCCCACCTGCTATATTTACATAGCAAACTTTTAATCCACCTGTTATTGTTACATAGCTAGCTTTTTATCATCGTTAGTTGTTAGTTGTTTCTATTCGGTATCAAGAGCTATAGGGTTTTAGCCAGTCTAATTTTTTTTTCTCGTTCCAATGGCCTCCCCTGTATTGTCCGCCGCCGCCACCGAGACTACTGCCGCCGCTGTCAACCCTTCGACGACGAGCGAGCAGACGCCGTCGTTGAGCGCGGAACAACAAACAATGGCGTCCGAGCTGCCGTCTGCAAGCTTCATCCCCGATGACATGCTGCCACCGTCGCTGAGCTCCGCCTGGGTGCCGCCGATCTTCACGTGGACTCCGACTCCACCGTCCCTCACGTTGCCGCCGCTTCTTCAGGCCGACTCACAAGGAGAGTCAAGCGTGGCAGCCGCTGCTCGGTTTGCTGGTCCGACTCTTTCCGGCAGTCCGGGGCTTCTCTTGCCGCAAAATTCTGGGACGATCGACCGCAACCCCATAACAAACACACTGCCTGTTTCGTTTGCTACTTTGGCTCAAGGTATGACTTTTGGGGTCTCAATTACCTAAATTGTCCCCTATGATTTATATCTAGGGAAATTTTGATGGAGGTTCACACTTTGAAAAATTCTTTTGCAATCTGGGAACGTTTGGAGTCTCGGTTTATGGCTGCCAGCCTGGCACGATCCATGGAGTTAAAACAGATGTTATCTCACACCAAGAAGAAGGAGAATTAGTCCATGGAAGAATATGTCCGCGGCATTCAAACTATTGCTGACAATGTAGCCTCCATCAATTCCCCGGTTTCCAATGCTGATCTTATTCAATATACGCTTTTAGGATTGGGACCCGGTTATGAATCACTAGTGGGACCCCTTACCTTGTTTCCTGAAGGACTCACTTTTGACAAATTAGGCACAAAACTGGTTCATCAAGAAGCCCGCTTACGTTACCAACAATCCTTGGAACCATCACTCTCGGCCCCGGCGTTCGCTGCACACCCTAACGGTGATCGTCAACCTCAACAGCCTGGCCGAGGACGAGCGGTTGCTTCCGGCGATAATCAGCAACAACCGCCCGACAGAGGCGGACGTGGTGGCCGACGAGGGAATCGCGGCAGAGGGCGTGGCCGATACCAGCCGCAGCAGCAGTACGGTCAGCCTCCGCCGTACCTCGGCCCCGGACAACATCACTATCCGCCGGCAGCACATCCTAGAGGGGCACATCCACCACAAAATTGGGGATCTGGTACAGTTTTATGTAATACAGTTGAGTCATCGTTTTGTACTCCTGCTCTCTCTACTTTTTGTACTAACTATGCCTCTGCAGGATCTTCCTCGTTTGAGAATAGTTTTAGTTCAGTCCCTCCACCTGTTGTTTGTCAAATCTGTCACTCCCCAGGTCATTCAGCTGTAGCGTGTCCGTCTCGTTTTGTTCAAACTCAGGCTCCAGCCTTAGCGGTCTCTACTGGTGAAGCCACTCCAGCTGTTTGGTATCCTAATTCTGGTGCTTCCGCTCACATGACTCCAAATGAAGGTATTTTGAATAATAAATCTATTTATTCTGGACCACTAAAAATTACGGTTGCTAATGGATCTAATCTTCCTGTTATGACTACTGATAATTTGCATCTAGCTACTAAGCCTCGGCCTCTCCATTTAAAATCGGTTTTTCATGTGCCTAATCTTAAATATAATCTTCTCTCCATCCAACGATTGTGTGCCGATAATAATTGTTTTGTGATTTTTTGATAAAAATTGTGTGTGTGTTAAGAACACATTTTCGGGGAAGGTGCTCCTCCAAGCTTTTAGTAATGGTGGTGTCTATCCTATCCCTACAAATCATCCTTCCCCAGTTGCTCTCAGTTCACAAGCTGCTCCCGGACCAATTTGGCATCGTCGTTTGGGCCATTGTGTGACACCGCACCCGAGCGTCCTTGAAAATTCAATTTAAGATTCAAAGTTATGTATTGAATTTCCGGGTTACCAAACAATTGTAGAACAATTTATGTTTTATGTAGTGCATTATTGAATATTGTACTGTTCAAACTCGTATATTAGTGTCGGGTTTTGCAAATACTTATTTGGGTCTTACTTAAATATTGTTACTTAACCCTTCAAGACAATTTGAGGAAGGTCGGGCGACCCAAATATTATTTTGGGCCCAACCTGCTAAAAATAGCAAGTATTCGAGAATGGCGTCCTAGACCCACTCGGGAGTGACCCACACGGCTAGTAGCCCAATAATATGTATGACAAATGTCAAAATAAGTGATGGAATGATTAGAGAAGAATACAAATACCTATAGCCCCATCTTTGACATTATTGAACTAAATAATGGGAGTGAGATTTTCCTTCTATGATATCCATCAAGTAAATTATTGAGATGAGCCTACACATATTGGAGATCAATAATGTTATGTAGGGAGTTGACTTGTTCTAAATAAATTAGGATGAGTACAAAAAGACATCTTTGACAAAGGATAAAACAATAGGACCCTTCTTCCCATTTTTGGAAGTACTGGTAGATATTTTGGACCCCAAAATGATTGGGATCAATTGGGAACCACTCCACATGATATTAGTACCTGCAAGACAAATAAAAATGGGTGAGAGGACTTACCTTGTCCGGCCAGCTTGGAGGGGAGCTGCACAAGACATGATTAGCATCAACTTAGGGCCACCATGAGCAGTTTTCGCACAAATTGGTGTGCTGTTTGTCTCCACTCATTATGGGAGTTATACTCGACCAAACAACGTGAATGAGGTGTCCTTGGATAGCCTTTGAAGTCTAGTTTCATATTTGAGTGGTCTCTGTGCAAGAGGGGAGAGTTTATCACACAAAAATCGATCTGGAGTGAACTGCTGTCTGTAAACTCGAGCAGTGAGAGTGCTGAGGCTGTTTGGTTGATATCTCGAGTTATACCAATCCAATTAAGGCGTGTAAGATACCAAAAGAAATCTCTCAAGACGAGGAATCCGTGAAGGTCTGGTTTGCATCAATCGGAGTAGTGGAAGACTTCCAAATCGTCCGAGCAAAACACAACTTTGCAGAAACGGATCTACTCTTCTAAAGTGAGTTGTTAACCCCAAAACCTTTCCTTTCATTTTCCAAATGATAAGAACGATTGGTGGAACTATTATACACTACTCCAAGTGCATAATGTGTCCTTATAAAGTTATTATTATTTATGTAAATGTTAGATACTAACCTAGAGCAAATCTTGGAAAACTAGGAAACGAGTTAGCCGGAAAACACCCATTCTAGGGGCTGTTTGTAACACCCCGGCCCCACCGGACCCGAGGTAGTTACTCCGGACCAATAGTACTGTCCCCACAAACCACCACGAGCCTTTACCGCGCACTTTGTCCTCACTCATGCGCGCCCTGAGAAACTTCCCAGGGGGTCACCCATCCCAAGACTACTCCCGTGCAAGCACGCTTAACTTTGGAGTTCTTAGCGGATGAGCTCCCGTAAAAGGAGATGCACCTCTGTTGGTATGAGTAGTACTATTAATCCGTTTATATTAAATCTCAAGTGTTACAATCACCCCCACTTAGGAACGCAACGTCCACGTTGCGCCCATAAACCAATCTCAAATCTCAATCAAATCCCAGAATCTTCCCCCGCTAAGTGCCCGCCCGATATCCAACGGGTCAGCACACTGTCGCAGGGTTGCTCTGATACCACCTGTAACACCCCGGCCCCACCGGACCCGAGGTAGTTACTCCGGACCAATAGTACTGTCCCCACAAACCACCACGAGCCTTTACCGCGCACTTTGTCCTCACTCATGCGCGCCCTGAGAAACTTCCCAGGGGTCACCCATCCCAAGACTACTCTCGTGCAAACACGCTTAACTTTGGAGTTCTTAGCGGATGAGCTCCCGTAAAAGGAGATGCACCTCTGTTGGTATGAGTAGTACTATTAATCCGTTTATATTAAATCTCAAGTGTTACACTGTTTTCGTACCAACGATTAAGGGTTGAACTAGCACTTTGAGGAGGCTGTTTGACACTCATTTCTAAGCTAGGAATCAGTTCTCAAGCTTCCTTGGCTGAGGCTTTGGTCATTGGATCGAGAAGGAAAGTTTTAAAGCTCATTTGAGGTGAGGATCGACATCTAGTTGCTTACAACTTGTAGGTTAAGCATGAGATTACCTAAATTCCTAAATCATGTTTTCCATGGATTATGATGATAAATTATCGATGGAATATTGATCTATTTTCCAAAGAATGAAATGGGAAATGATTTGGTAAAGTATTGATAAAAATGGAGTTAAATGAACTATTGTGTGAAATAGGCATTTTACTCATGTGTGATTTGTGTAGATACATAAATGATTATTTATGTATTACATTGGATGATTAAGTTGCGGCTACATATCTCTAAATATGTAGGGTTTTACAAATGGGATATATGATGGATAAGGATAAATCTTAATAGCATTGAAATACTAGTTAATGATTGTTGTAATTGTTAAGGAATTGAATCTAAGGATTTGATTGTAATTGATGTACTTGATCGTGATGCAAGTGACTAAATTGATGTAATGTGATGCTAAGATCATGGTTGGGCAGTCCGTAAGGATGTCCCAAAATAGATTATTGATATTACAAATTCTAGGCATAGCGAGTGCTTAGGAATTGGGGTCTATGCTAATGTAAGGAGATGTACTTGAGCCCGTGCTCATAGAATTGCATTGGGTAGACATGATGTGGTGATTGATGTGCATGGTGATGTAGTTGAGTTGGACTCAAGATGCACGGTGGAGTAATTAACTTGTGTTAAATAAGGTGCATGGTGATGTAGTCGAGTTGGACTCGAGAAATGCAACATATGTGTTAGGGTTGAACCCTATGCATTGTTGTGACTAGGGGTCACGGGGTTTGGGCTATGTTTGGTAACAAACTTTGGGCCTACGGGCCGACTACTTGACTTTATATATAAGTAAGTATATTTTGAAAAGGGGCAACTAGGGGTTACGGCCTAGAGTATATTATCACCCTATTTGAGGGTCTTGTGTTTGAAATACTTGTTGTATATCTATTAGATGCCATCCACACCAGCACTTTATAGCCCTATAGAGTGTTGACCCCTTCGGGGGCGTCCCACTACCATTTTTCAGGTTGAGGCTAGAGCTGTCTTCCTGTGCTCGTTGCTCGAGAGATCATCTAGGAGGGAAGACTTGGTTCGTGCTTCCTCCATTCTGTTTTTACACATTAATAAACATGCTCATGAATATTTTACTATAGAGCCTGCGTTCTCATGTTTGCCACGTGTGGCATTTGTTTTCAAACTATGTTTTCCGCTACGTATTCGATTGCTTATTATGCTGTTTATGGATGGCTTACGTGTGAATGATATTCGAGACGCCTTGTATAATATGGATGTGCTTGACTGTGGTTAACTATTCGTATTGTACGGCGGGTTGTTGACGTGTCCGGGCAGGTCCGGGGCGTGACACATTGTGGAAGTCGTATTTTAGATAGATTAAAAAAATCTGGCAATGTTCTTAGTACTTCTAATTTTTCTCATGATTGTGGCATAAATCTACTGGTCCTTTGTTTTTAATTCATTCTGATGTTTGGCTGTCTCCTGTTTTTTCTTCAAGTGGCTTTAAATATTATGTTTTATTTATTGATGATTTTTCCCGGTTTACTTGGCTTTATCCCATGCGTCATAAAAGTGAAGTGGTGTAGGGATGGCCCCGGGCCCGGTTCGGGCCTAGGCCGGGCCGGGCCTCGGGTCTGTTTTGTTGGGCCCGAGCCCGAACCGGTGGCCACCGGTTCCGGGTCCGGTTCCGGTTCCGGGCCGGGCCGGGCCACCCGGTTAGTTTTTTTTTTTTTTCTTTTCTTCCCCCCCTCACCCCCCACCCCCCCCCCCCCCCCAAACCCCCCAAACCGGTCCTAAACATCAAGCCCAACTCAATAAAGCCAAAAAAAATGAAAAAAAAAAACAGTTCTTGGCCCGGACCCGGGCCCGACCCGGCAGGGCCGGTTCACCAAATACAAGGCCCGAGCCCGGACCCGCCCCCCCCCACCGGGCCCAGGCCCGACCCGGACCCAAGAACCGGGCCGGTTCCGGGCCCGCACAGTGGCGGGCCGGGCCGGTCCTGGGCCGGGCGGCCCGAACCGGGTCCAAGTCTAAAGTGGTGAGACATTTTCAAAACTTTAAATCCATGGTGGAAAATTTACTTGATGCTAGAATTAAATTGTCTCCTAGATCCACCTTATGTGTTTTTCTAGGATATGCCCCTGAATACAAAGGTTATCGTTGTTGTAATCCTATTACTGACAAGATCTATATAAATCGGAATGTGCGGTGTTTTGAAAATTATTTTCCTTATTCCGATTTAATTTCTGTACGTCAAAGGGACACTTCCACAATGCCCGTCGGCAGTACGGTGAGTTTGCATGATTATCACCACTCTTAGACCTCTCTGCCATCACCTATGCATCCCAGTTTCCCGCCACAGACCTTTTCCGATCATCAGTAGAAAACCCCGGCGCACCAGCCCACTGTTGCCCGCGGCAACACACTCGAACCCCACCAACAACCTGCCACCAGCACTACTGACCGCGGCAGCACACCAGACCACCACCAGCAGACCCCCATCCCTACTGCCGAACCCATCGACTCCCCACGGCAGACCCCATCAGACCACATCCTCAGTCACACTTCTTCCAGCCCGAGCCCGAGCCCAACCCCACCTGCATCTTCTCCTAAAAATTGTCTTCCTATGCAAACTCGTGCTAAGGCAGGAATTTTTAAACCAAAAACTATTTTTACTCTCAAAACAGATATTTCGGCATGTGATCCTTCATTTTTTTCAAAGGCAAATAAAGATGCTAAATGGAGAGCTGCTATGGCTGAAGAGTTTAATGCACTTATTGATAATCATACCTGGGATTTAGTTCCGTTTAATACAAGTAAAAATGTGGTTGGGTCTAAATGAATTTATAAAACAAAATTTAATGCTGATGGATCTGTTGAGCACTATAAGGCACGTCTGGTCGCACAGGGATTTACTCAGCAAGCTGGTGTGGATTTTTTTGAGACTTTTAGTCCTGTTGTTAAACCCATTACTGTTCATATTGTTTTATCTCTTGCTGTCTCGTATAAGTGGTCCATTCGTCAGTTAGATGTCAAAAATGCTTTTCTTCATGGCAATCTAACTGAAGAAGTTTATATGCGTCAGTCTCCTGGCTTTGTTCATCCTCAGTTTCCTAATCATGTTTGCAGGCTCAGGAAGGCTATCTATGGTCTTAAACAAGCTCCTGGAGCTTGGTTTTATCGGTTCAGTAGTTTCTTATTAACCCATGGTTTTGTGTGTAGTAAGTATGATAATTCCCTATTTATTTACCGCCATGGGTCTCACATTCTTTATCTTCTGTTGTATGTGGATGACATCATTATCACTGGTAATTCTCCTTCCTTTATTTCCACTTTTATCTCGTGTCTTGGCCGCTATTTTGCCATGAAAGATTTGGGAGATTTACACTTTTTCCTAGGTGTACAGGCAGTTCGAACACACTCCGATTTGTTTCTGTCTCAACAAAAATATGTGTCTGATCTATTAAACAGGTTTCATCTCCACACTCTTAAACCAGTTCGTACTCCGCTTCCTACTCGAACTAAGTTGTCTCTCACTGATGGGGATCTTCTTGCAGATCCTACTGAGTACAGAAGTATGGTAGGCGCTCTACAGTATTTGACTACGACTCGACCTGATATTACATTTGCTGTTCACCTGGTCTCTCAGTTTATGCATGCACCCCGAACTACTCATTTATTGGCTGTTAAGCGTATTTTCAGGTATCTACAGGGGTCAGCTGCTCACGACCTGCTTCTCCAGTCCAGCACTTCTTCTCCTACTTTGCAGGCTTATTCAGATGCTGACTGGGCCGGATGTCCTGACAGTAGTCGTTCTACTTCTGGTTTTGCTGTATTCTTGGGTCCAAATTTAGTCTCATGGAAGTCCGAGAAGCAGCTCACTGTCTCCCGATCTTCTACAGAGGCTGAATATAGAGCTATTGCTTACACGGTTCAGGATACACTACATATTCGCTCAATTCTATTCGAATTAGGTATCTCTATTCGAGATCCGGTACAGCTATTGTGTGACAATGTTTCTGCCTCCTACTTGTCCACTAATCCCATTCAGCATGCCCGGAGCAAGCACATCAGCATTGATTATCACTTTGTTCGAGAGAGAGTTTCTCATGGAGATCTGGTGGTTCGCTATGTGTTGGTCCCGTTTAAGTGTGAAACAGTCTAGGGGGGTGAATAGACTGTTTTGCTTTTCAAAAATTTCTCTAAGTCAAAACTGACTTATGAGAGATGGTCTGAATCTGGTGACAGAGAAAGGTCGAGTTCTGATGGCAGAACTGGACCCGGCAGCGGATAAGAGTCTGTCTGGGTAGCCTCAAGAGAACACTAAGGCAAATGCCTTTCTGATGACTCTTAGAACAAGATCTGCTGAACACATATTCCAAGTTCTTTAGAGTTATACAGTTAAAGTCTTAAGTGCAGAAATAAAAAGCAGTAAAGTAAATGACACCGGGGATTTTTATAGTGGTTCAAGGAACAACGCGTTCCTCTAATCCACTGTTCCACTAAGCTTGTAAAACGACAGTTACAACGCCTTAGTCCCTAGAACTTAAGAAGCTCTCCATGTCTTCTTCAAGCCTAGTTGCCACCCGGGATGCAGTCCTGCTTCCTGATGGCTGGTCCTTTTACTGAGCTTCCCGAAAGTATACCCACTTCACTACTCCAATTAATTGGACGTCCTTCTTTGCAGAAGATGTTTGAAAAACAGAGTTTTTCTCCAACTTGCTTCGTTACAATAGATGTGTTGATGAAGTGCTTGAAGTTGTTGAAGAACTGGAGGAACTTTGCTCTTTGTTGGGGTTGAAGGATTTGAATAATCTGATCTTCCCAACGTAAGCTTTTTCTTGAAGTTGATTATGAAGTTTGAATCTCAAGAGTGCTTTTTGAGTTGTGTAGAGAGCAAAAGTTATCCCATTGTTCTTCATCAAGTATCTTTTATACTGGGGTTGTCTTCCCGTTGGAGGAGGAGACAACTGCATTAAATGCGCGTACTGCGGAGTTGACCGGTTGGACCCGCATATTTGGCAGGTTTCTATTTTTGTAATATATCTTCCAGGAATCTCGGTCAATCATCTGCAATTACTCCACAGCGTATCAGGCTCATTAAATGAGCATTAAATGCTTTCCTTTCGTGAAATATCTCCTAGCCGTTAGGGAATTTCCCGTTAGTTACACGGCCGTTGAAAGGTAGCATCAAATTTTTCTAAGTGTTTGATGTCTGATGAGACTCTCTGATTAGTAGTTCTCAAACCGGGCTCTGATGGTTCTCTGATAGCTATATGAGGGCAGCTCTGGTAGCAGCTCTGATGGTTTCTCTGAACGGCAGCTCTGCAGGCAACTCTCATAGCTAGTTAAAGGAGCAACTCTGCTAGCACTTCTCATAGAGCAGTTCTCCTAGCGGCTCTGATGCTTCTCTGAAGAACAACTTTCATAGGTTATCAGATGTGCAGCTTTGCTAGCATCTCTCATAGAGCAGTTCTCCTAGCAGCTCTGATGCTTCTCTGAAGAACAACTCTCATGGAGTAGTTCTCCTGGCAACTCTGATCAGAAGTACCAAGAGAATCTCTGGCCCGTCGACTATGCTAATACTTACAAAGAAAAATTCTAATACAAAATTTCTATAAGGGGTACTTTAAGATTCTAATCTGTCTAGCATCATCAAAATCTAAGTACAATTATTCCTTACACTATGTTCCTACATACTCAGTTTCAGCTAGCAGATATTTTCACTAAATGTCTGTCACCACAGCGTTTTATTTTTCTTAGGGACAATCTGCGCATTGTTTCCCCTGCACAGCTTGAGGGGGTGTAATAGTGTAATTAATACCATTAATTAGGTTCTTTGTTAGTAATATACGGTACGTGAATAATACAATAATACGTACGTTCGTGTATAATACGATACAATTATATAAAATACGGCTTAATATATGTTTCATACGTTCGTGAAATATATAAAGATACGGACGCGTTTTAAACGTTTCACAATTTAAAAATACGGCATATAATACGTGTCTTATATACTTATTTAATGATATAAATAAAGAGTTATTTAACAATTAACATTTGCACCACAATCTTCAACAATTTAAAATGTACGGAATAGTTTTTTTTTTCAGATTTACGGATTTAAATGCATAGGTACAATACGTAATAAAAATGGCATTGCCTATTTAAGTAGAAGTGGAGAGATATTACTAGAAAATAGTTGATATTACTTTGACGATGAGTTTAGTGAGCCGCCACAACATTTTTTCGATCTCTTTGGAGTCTTGGTATGGGTGGAGAACAAAAGTAATACAGTAGTAGTACAATAGAAATATCGAAACAGATTACGAATTTAAGAAGCTAATTCATTAAATGTAATGACCGTTAAACAATTAGCAAACATATAAGGCATACCGTTTTTTTAAGCAATATAAATAATATTGAGTACGTAGCTTGACATTTTGTTTCAGTTGTATCACTCCATTAGGCTTCCGTTTAATGGTGTGTGTTTTTTAATAAAATACGTATCAATACGTACAGTACGTGTATTATACATTTTATCCTTAAAGTACGTGAGTTTTTCAAAATTTTCTGAAAAATTCATAAACAAGAGTATTATACGTAATAAAATACGTATCAATACGTACGGTACGTGTATTATACATTTTATCCTTAAAGTACGTGAATTTTTCAAAAAAAATTGAAAAATTCATAAACGGGAGTATTATACGTGAATTATACGTTCGAGTGTATTATACGCGAATTATACGCGAATAAACTAACATAGATTAGGTTTCCATATTTATTAGGTTTCCTAATGTATTCAGGACATATTTTTATTATATATATGACACCTAGGGCTACCACATTGGTAAGCCTTTCCATTATTCTCATAGTTTCCATTGTAGTAGCTTTCTTAGTAAGGGTTAAAGGCATTTTACTAATTATTCATTTTACCAGATGATGGACAAGGCAAGCAATAATGCTCAATCCGCAAAGAAAATCCTTCAAGATGCTGGACAAGAAATGCAGGCAAAGGCACAATGAGCAGCTAATGCTAAGAATGCCGTGACCAAGTTATTTGAAGATGCTGCACAATCTTCACCTCATATTGATTGGCCTTTGGGCTAATTATATTGTTTTTCTTAGTTTTTTCTCCAACACTTTACTTTGCTTCTTTTTGTGTGTGAAATTGACAAAGATGAGAATGTACGTGTCAAATATAAAAAGAGTGGGTACAATTTATCTCTTCTATTATTCTATTGCACAATTCAAACTAGCAATTTCATTAGTTTTAATTCAAAGTAGTGTCTTGATTTTTCAGGCGCTCAGGTCAAAAGTGGACAACCTCTAGCTATGCATCTTGCATCTTTTACGGGTAAACTAGCTATGACCTAACAAATGTGCCGCTTTAAGATGATATTTGATCAATTGCTTTAGACACTTCAATAATATCTTGAATAAGTTTGATAATAAGTTGGTGGGTTGGAAACACAAATTACTTTCAGTTGGGGGTAGAATGATTTTAATTCAACATGTGCTTGGTTCCCTCCCCCTTTATCACATGGCTGTCTCCCCCATCCCCAAGTATGTTATTCAGAAAATGGAGAGAAAACTCTCCAATTTCCTTTGGGATAATTCTGATGACCATAATAGGAAAATCTGGTGTAGCTGGAAAAATTGTTGCTACCCAGTTTCTGAAAGTGGTTTAGGCTTCAGGAGCCTCCATCATATCCAGCAAACCTTTTTCCTTAAGCTAAATTCGAAGCTCGAAAATAACACAGGTTTATGGGCCAATTGGGTCAACTCTCTAAAGGATGATACCAAGTCTGTTATGTCCAGTTCTATTGAGTCCATCCGTAATATTTTTGATGCAAATTGCAGGATTCAATTGAACAATGGCTCAAGCTCCTTTTGGTTCTCCAATTGGAACGACATTGGACCCATTTACCATCACCTGGAGGACATCCCTCCTGATATTATTAACCTTACTATTACTGAGGCTTTTCATTCTGGCCGGTTGATACCTGAGATCACAAACTGTCTGCCCAGACACGTTACTAACAAAATTCACGAGACACCTATCCATTTTAATGATTCCGAGGATAAGTGTGTTTGGCAACCAAGCCCTAAAGGCAATTTCACTTTTAGTAGTGCCTATGATGCTAATAGGCCAAAGAGGCATCCAAATCCCACTGCCAAATATATTTGGAATGCTCGCACACCAAAAAAATATCCTTTTTCTTATGGAGAATTCAAAACAATCTCATTCCTTTTGGGGAAAACCTGACTCACATGGGCTTTTTAGGCCCTTTCAAATGCCCGTTTTGTCAAAATCATGACACCAAAGACCATTTTTTCCTTAAGTGCGATTTTAACAAAGAAATATGGAGCTACTTTGAAAATATTTTTAAGTTCCACCCCCCTCATGATGGTAGCCTCAATACCTATATGGTGCGTTGGTATAAGGACTTTAAAGGTCCCTCCCAGGAACTTAATTTCATTCTTCCAAATATCATTATTTGGCATCTTTGGAAAATCCGCAATACTTTTCTTTATGATGAAAAAAAAGGTCATATTCCTGAGGCTATCAAAGCTATTAAAAATGATCTTTTTGCCTTATCGGTTGCCAAACCTTTTATCACAAACACCTCACATCCTCAAATCAATTCAATCTTCTCACTATAAGGCCCAAAAAAATCCACACCATACCTATTGCTGCCCATTGGATAAAACCCCCCAAGGAGTACTTCAAAATAAATATGGCTTCTTGCGATCTTAATCCCAATCTCATCCGCACGGTTGCTCTCATTCGCAATGCCATCGGAAGCTACACTGGTCATATCTCCCAGCTTGATAAGCATAATGACCATTCTCTTGCTATTTATGATGTTATTATTAACCTTTTTACTCATCTTAATTTTGATAATATTATTATTGAGGTTGATAACAGAGACATTTATGAAGGCATCATTGGTCATTCCATTCAACACTGGAAATATTGGTCCCGCATATGCATTGTCAAGAAAAAGCTAAAGGAATTCAATTGGACAATCATGCACATCAATCGTGAAGTCAACAAAGCAGCCGGTTACTTAGCTTACCGCTACACTTCCATTAAAACCAAAAATCATCATTTCAACCAATTTGTTGGTATCCTAAAGTTTGACGCTATTAGTTATCCTTATGTTGTTTAATCTATGAGTAGGCATTGGTTTGGTCCTCCTACTCCATGTATATTTCTTTGGTTAATAAATAGGTGGGGTGTTACCTGGCCCTCACCCCAAAACTCTCGGGTTTTGGACTAAACCGGGTTCTAAAAAAAACAATATGCAATAAAAACTAACAATAATATGCTTGGGTTATACTCCCTCCGTCCCCCTAAGTTTGTCCCGTTTTACCTTTTTCGTCCGTCCCATTAAGTTTGTCCCATACTATATTAGGTAATGTTTGAGTGGCTAGAATTCATTCTTACTTTATTCAAACTTTATCAATTCAATACCAACCACACAATTCTATTTTTTCTTAAAAACCACACCACACCCCTTTGTCCCAAACTTAGGGGGACGGAGGTAGTAAGAATTAATTTTGGAACTAAAAATATCAAATCACATTGTTTATTATGCATTTTTTTTATGTAGGTTTCCATCTTTTCGGTGCTTTGAAATAAAAACCACTTAGGTACCCTAATGTCGAATTTTAAGGAAATCCACAGGAAATATGAATAAACAATAAAAAAAGCTAAATTTTCAAATTTATCAACAAAAAGAAACAAAATGAAACTAAATGTAATAAAAACTAGCAATAATTTTCCCTAGTGATGATAATTTTTTGCAGCTAAAAATATCAAATTACAAAATTCAAATTACAATTTCTTACTTTATTAAAAGCAATCTACATTTAAGATATTTTAATTGTTTCACACTTCTTATTTTTGGGAAAATATTTTTATATTTTCTAGTGTGTTTTAGTGTTTTAATCCTTTTCTTATACTTTTTTAACACTTATTTTTTTAAAAAAAATATACAAGTATGTATTTATTTGATTATTTTGGAAGTATTTGTAATTTATATTCTAGAAATTTTAACTTTCCTAAACAGTTGTGATTTTTTTTTATAATTTTCAATACTTTAAAAAATAAATTATTTGATTTTATATACTGACTTTTTACAATTTTATGATTTTAGATCTTTTAAAATATTATTTACATTTTCAGTTTTTAAAAAACAAATCCTATTTTCTACATACTCATACGTAGTATATTTCTATATTTATGTTTTTACCTTTTATTAATTTTACTTAAGTTTGATTTTTATATTTTTATTGTTTTATATTATGTATATAAAATATGGATTATACGTTTTAAAGTAATTACATTGCATAAAACCGCATTGTCTTACAATTTTGTGACGTTCTAAAAATTTTGAATTTTTTATCAACTTTGTCATTTCTATGCTTTTTAAATATTTTCCGATCTATTTTTAATAATTTAATCCCTTTGTTGAGTTTTTAATTTAATTTAGAAGTTTTGAACTTCGATTTTTTCTTATAATGAACTCTTTTTCTCATTTTAAGTATTTTTATTTCCAGAATTTACCCCCCCCCCCCAGTTATTTTCATCTTTTTTACATTTGACATTTTTTACATTATTTACTTTTTAGAATAAGAATTGAGTAATTCTTAGTTAGAATTTGTATTGGAACAAAATCAACAAATATGGTGCGTACAACCGTACAGTAGAGTTGGAACCTCACGTTCATTTCTTGGAAATATGCACGCAACACGGGTTATTTGTGAAAAGTTAATTGTAGTTAGCCTATTTTGAAATTAGTTTTAAAAAATGAAAAACGTGATATTATTTTGACCTTTTTGTCCACTTGCGAAAAATTCCCTATTAATTTGAGTGAGCCAATATGTTATTTAATAAGGTATAGAGCTCAAATGTGTAGAGACTCATGGACTTAACCTAATTAATAATGGGCTTATTACGGTTAAGCATTTTCTATAAATAGAGGGATTATGGTCCCTATTGTACACATCATTCCGTCCACTAGAGAGGTAATTCCTGAGGATGTGTATCAACTACAAGACGCAAACCCTAGCCTCCGTCTCCTAGATCTCTAAAGATCATCTTTAATGGAGTCAGGTACGCTTCCGCTAATTTGCTTTTCTAGATAATTCCAATATGAAGATTAAAGTATTATCAAATTTATTCCAACAAATGATATCAGAGCCTCCTTGATATGGAATTATTTGAAGTATTCATACTTTTGTTTCAATCTTAAACGATTGAATTTCAGATATTTCTTTATTTTAAACCCGGTAGGCAAACCACCAAAATCAGTGGGGCAAACGCCGGGGAACGTTTGCCGAGTTTTATTAAAAATCAAAGAGGTACCAAAACCTTTTCAGAAAAGGGCATTCCCTTTCAGAAATACAATAGAAAATATGACGAAAGAAAAATCATAGATAGAAACGAAACAAATCACAGCCTAATAGAAGAAATACCAAATTTGTCCATCATATAAGCTCTCTTAACCACGCCCGACAGATCAGTAACACATTTAAAAATATTCAAATGGGGTGAGTGAAGTGAGGGAATGACGAAACAGGGTAATTTTTGAGCAGGTGTTTCCATATAGTGCACATCCCATTCTTTTGACAGAAAAGAGTAAAACGGAGTAGAGTACTCCGAAAATGAGGAGTACCTAATGCGTGTCAGTTTTTTTTTTTCGGATCTGACCCATCCGAATTCATTCCAAAGTGTGAGCTGCCCATCCCAGTTGTTAATACTCCTTATTACTACGTATAACTTATAATTACATTGCATACTACGTATATTAGTATTAAACTATTAATAATGTTTACTATATTTCATTAACAAGTGTATGTCTTTATTTTATTAGTTTAATATATCTAAGTAAAGCGTACGAATATTAGTATATTTAAGTTAATGGTCTTAGAAATTATTAATTGTTGGTAGTTATTTTATTTTTTGAGTAGTTCGTCCATCCCAAAATGAAATTCATAGTTTAACTTCACGAGTTTATAGGTAGAATATGAAATAAAGTTAGTCTTTCAAAAATGCTCTTGGACGATTAAAAAGTGTAGCACTAAAATGGGTATAATAAAAGGGGTAGTTTAAGTAGAAATGGTAAATCAACATTGATCAGTAAAACCATTGTAGTGTACTAAAATGGAGTATCCTCTCAATTTGACATAATTCAATGAAGTGATGGGAAGGTAAAATGGTAAATGAATAATAAAAACTTACCGAATAAATGGTAAATGAATAATAAAATTACATTACATTGTTATTTATTCTTGTTCTTGCCAATAATATAAATGATGTGATTGTAAAAATATTGGTAATAATATTGGTAAATATTTTGCAAAAAAAAATATTGGTAAATATATAAATTCATATTACTATTTAAGTAGTTATAAAATAATAGTGGACACATCAAAATATAGTACTCCGTAATACTTTTACTTTTAAAATAATAGTGGACACCTCAATAATGTCTCTAATCGGATAAAAAATACTTTATCTGATATAAATATTATAAGTCAAATAAAATATCTCTGAATACATACTCACTCCGCAACTAACCTCATTATTTCCAATCATCTCAATAATGTCTCTAGTCAGATATAAAAATACTTTATCGATAAAGATATTCTAAGTCAAACAAAGTATCTCTGAATACATATTCACCCACTCTGCAACTAACCTCTGTAAAACATGTATAAACATGTATTTTGATCGAAATTCGGGAGACAAACGCATATATTCAATTTAAACGACAAATATTGTACGGTTTTTAATTATGTTGAATGAAGAGAAAAAATAAGAAAGTAATAAAAACAATTGAGGTAAAAAAGCAATCATAAAAAAATAGGAAAGTAAAAATCGTTGAAAAGAGAAAAACAATCATTAAAAAAACTAATAAGAAAGTAAAAATTGAGGTAAGTTTAGCCCCAAAATCCTTTTGGTAGTGCTCTGAGATCTATACAAATTCGGAGTTCTGAAATCCGAAAGTGCTCTGACATTTTCCAAACCACACTTTTCGAACATGCCAACTCCGTTTTACCCTGTTTCAGAAAAGCTTAAAAAAAATTCACTTTTTGGAATGCCATGCTAAAAATACACACTTATCCGTCAAATACCCGAGTGAAGTTGGGTCAGTTTATCCGCAGCCCCATTTGCCTCACGCCAAGTATGTCTGAACAAGATCCCTTTCCTATTACACTCTAGCAGCATTTCCTGAATGAGAACCCTCCATCTCCCTGACCGGCCATCTCTCAGACAATCCAAAGCATTCCTAGAATCGATTTCCACCTGAAAGGAACTGTAACCAGCATCTAAAGCCCAATGCGTAGCAAAGACCATCGCCTTGATCTCAGCATCGATCGCTGCATCAGCTTGTAGCGGAAATGCCATCGCGAAGATTAGCAGACCATCCTGATTCCTCATCAAAGCTCCTCCGAAAGCACCCTGAGGTAAGTACGAAGCATCAATGTTCAATTTCAGCTTTTGGGGTTTTTGCCATTTGATGATTCTTGGAACTATACCCGTGAGCTTAAAATTCAAGGGAATTAGCCTTTCTTCAAAAAGGATGCTGCCTCTCTCCCGCATCTTTAATCTGTTGAAACCAGAAGCCCAAGATTGAGTAAAAATCTTGATTTGAATAATTAGGTGTTCAGATGTAGAAACCACCTTGTCCGAGCCCCAAACAAGACCACAATAATATTTCCAAAGATGCCAACATATAATCCTAGGTAGATTATGTTTGAACAAATCTAAAACAGTTTTACTCACATTATTTGCCAACATATTTCCAAAGACCGCTTTCAACCACCAGTTGAAAAAGAATTGTCTCACAGTATTATCAAAGCCTATAATAGGGATTCCACAAATATTCATGAAATATATCCAAACAGGCTGAGCCATCTTGCATTGAAAAAGAAAATGGTTCATAGAATCAGTATTGGCTCTACACATAGGGCAGATTGAAGGATTTAGTACCTTCTGGAACCTGCTTAGATTATCAGTAGTAGGCAGAATATTGTTAAGAATTTTCCATTGGAAAATCTTAATTTTCATCACTTGCTTAGGGTCCCAACAATGCTTAAAAGAGAAAGTGGAGTCTTTTTCAGTTCTAACCAGTTGATAGGCAGATTGTAAAGAGAACAAGCCATTCTTCTCACCAGACCATAATTCTCCTCCAAATAGAGGAGTCATAAACCTTTGGAACCATGTTATCACCCCTAGGG